GTCAATATGGATTTCAGCCAATCAAATTCGTGAATTCGGTAGTTCCCAGTCCTTGTGAGACACAGCCATAAAATAATGTATTATATTGTATTGTATTGTATTGTATTGTGTTATATTGTACTGTATTGTACTGTATTGTATTGTTTACTGTCACTGAAAAGCCCCATCAGGGGAGTGTCAATAAACTGTTGTTGTTTTTAAATTTACTTTATTGAGCTTGTTCGGTCCTTATTGGAGAATATCGGTTTTATCCTTTTTTTTTTTTACCATTTTATGGACTTTGAGTGCCATAAACACGGACCTTAAGCTTGTCCAATAACATTTACTGTATTAGCGCCATATAAATGTATAATAATTATTATTATTAATTATTATTATTATTGTGTTTTTCTACAGGAGCCCATTTCTCGGTTTGTCGAAGGCCAGATTATCGTCGATTTCCGCTCCTCCTTGTCTGATGTCTGTGACGTTCTTTCGTCATTGGATATCGCCATTGGTTTTCTTGCTTCGTCAGGTGGCCAAACCGAGAGACCTTTAAAATGGTACTTACATGAAGTACTTAAGTTACCCAAAGAACGCGGACTCAAGAGCCCAACAGTAAGTACAACGCAGTCCGCTGAAACGAATCTGGTCATTTTCCTTGAGAGAAACGGGACACGGCAAAAATGAAACTTTTGCCGTTCCTTAATTATTTGCCATTTGTACACGAGTAGATCGCTGTGGCGCATTTATTTCTTAGCAGAGTTTTAAAAGAGACATTATGATAAGTAGTTCATTGTGCTACCGTGGTCGGTCTTAATTTAGGAATCTTAATTGTTCTCGTTTTTGTATTGTAGCCCTTGTTGCACGCTTCGCTGTCGTGAACTCTGGTCGTGTGCCATGCCTCAGTAGTGTGGTTGGTTCAAACGAGTTACCATCCCTTTAGCCATCACATCCCTTTAAACATTTAATGTATGTTGCTGTTTTGCTTTAGGCAGAGCAGCACTGCAACCTGACTCACACCTTGGCGTTATGGCGGCTCATGGCCCTAGAGAAAGCGAAAATCAAGTCTAGGAACAATCAGGTTAGACTAAAGTAACCTCATCACATTCTTTCAGCCCTCTGTCTTTCCCTTAAGAAAACCTTGTTACGCGTTAACCCAGACATCTAAGAGGTCTCTTAGCCGGAAGATCGGTCAACTTTACTCTTGCGCTAAACGACATGTATTAAAATTAATAAAAGTACCGTTCAACTCTATCAAACTTTGCCCCCGTCTTGGAAGGGTCTTACGTCTTTTCAACACCTTTTAGAGAGAGGAGGGCGCTATTTCTGAAAAGATAAATCGGTCGGCGTATGTAATAATTAANTGAAGTACTTAAGTTACCCAAAGAACGCGGACTCAAGAGCCCAACAGTAAGTACAATGCAGTCCGCTGAAACGAATCAGGTCATTTTCCTTGAGAGAAGCGGGACGCGGCAAAAATGAAACTTTTGCCGTTCTTTAATTATTTGCCATTTGTACACGAATAGATCGCTGTGGCGCATTTATTTCTCAGCAGAGTTTTAAAAGAGACATTATGATAAGTAGTTCATTGAGCTACCTTGGTCGGTCTTAATTTAGGAATGTTAATTGTTCTCGTTTTTGTATTGTAGCCCTTGTTGCACGCTTCGCTGTCGTGAACTTTGGTCGTGTGCCATGCCTCAGTAGTGTGGTTGGTTCAAACGAGTTACCATCCCTTTAGCCATCACATCCCTTTAAACATTTAATGTATGTTGCTGTTTTGCTTTAGGCAGAGCAGCACTGCAACCTGACTCACACCTTGGCGTTATGGCGGCTCATGGCCCTAGAGAAAGCGAAAATCAAGTCTAGGAACAATCAGGTTAGACTAAAGTAACCTCATCACATTCTTTCAGCCCTCTGTCTTTCCCTTAAGAAAACCTTGTTACGCGTTAACCCAGACATCTAAGAGGTCTCTTAGCCGGAAGATCGGTCAACTTTACTCTTGCGCTAAACGACATGTATTAAAATTAATAAAAGTACCGTTCAACTCTATCAAACTTTGCCCCCGTCTTGGAAGGGTCTTACGTCTTTTCAACACCTTTTAGAGAGAGGAGGGCGCTATTTCTGAAAAGATAAATCGGTCGGCGTATGTAATAATTAATTGATACAAGAGACCTTGTATTAATATCATCGATGTGCGTGTCCACGAAAGAAATAGTCGTGGGTAAATAAGGCTTGCCGTCCTGAGAAGTGGGTTGGTGAGCTTATTAGAGAGGAAGTGAGAGGGGGGCGGCGGGTTGCTTAAGTAAAAGTGAAAGCTGCTTAGGGAATTTATTTTAAGGGGAACGTTAAAGAGAGAGGGATGGGATGCCTAATGGAGCTTTGAACGTATAACCAAACAAAACTTGATCCAAAAAGGCAGGTGTATGGGATTTGCTATGATTTTTGGCTTTCTTGAAGATTTCTTAATTTTCTTTTTTAAGAAGGCAAACAAAAGTGCATTTGGGTGACCTAGACAAACTATAAACCATCACCTTTCCCAAATCTCTTTAGGAGCCATTTGAGCAAATGCCTGACATTTTCAAGGGAAGACTGAGCTCAAGCGACCTGGCGCACCTAAATCGCGTATTGCGAAAAATCGACATGGACTTATTTTTACCACAACTCCTGGAAATGATTCTTCTGAATGTTCAAAAAGATGGTGAAAATATTTCAACCATGAGGTAAGATTGACATTTACGTTTGGTAACAAAGTCCAAAAGTGGCAGAGATGCCAAATTTTCTGGCAGATCTTTGGTTGGAGGTACTAAGAAGTCCAAGGCCGACCTAGTGGTTTGTAGCACCAGTGAACATCCGTATACTGGTGGACTGATACGAAACTAGCTATTACTATAAATCAAAATATTTGATTTGTAAGATGACTGCACAAGAAAGCCATCTATACAGATGCTCTTTGGACACGTCAAGGAATCATTTCTTCCCAACAAAGATCTCGTGAGGAGTCCAGAGAGCGTCTTCCGTTCTTACTCCATGTGATGTTTCAGCACAAGTTTCTTTGTCGTGCAAATTACCACTTCAAAATTTATTTCTTTTGTACGCTAAAATATCAGCTTTTTTGAACAGAATGTAAATGTCTAATGCAATTATCTTCTAGTTTTGCAGAGTACTTGGATCTGTGCTTGGCGGATAAAGGTTTAGAACAAATTCCAGGAACCGAGGACATTCCTGACAATATCCAAATGAAGCACTTGAAAGCTGTCTGGAACTCCGCTGTACAGTTAAGTGACGACTTTCACCAAGAGCGTCTCGCAGCTACTGATTGAGGAGCAGTACCTCGAGGTTCAAGAAATTGGAGCAGCGTGTTCTGAGAAATCAGCAAAAAAAAACTGGTCTTATCGGCCAAAGTCATTTTGCAATCTTATCATAGAGATAAGAGTAGCATTTCTGGCAGTTGTTAGCTTAATAGGTTATAGTATAAGTTGCTGCATTGATACTAAATATGTAGAGCATTTTTCACTTCAGTGCCGAAAGTACAGTAATTCAACACTGACGACACACCCAGAAAATCGCTTTGGCTTGATGTATGCTTAGAGTAAGACCAGATGGCTTATTGTTAGTGTTAGTTACAGTATTGTCGATAGATACAGCGAGATGCAAATGCATCAAGCGCACTTTCTGAGTAAGCCAATGTAATTTTTTCCTTTTTTCTTGTTTAATTCTTTGACGCAGACAAAATGCTGTATTAAGTTCCATTTTTTGAAGCTCGCGGTGAAAAACATAAGCATAACATTTTATTTCCATTCTTTCTAGCCTTGAATTGTTGTTAATGTTTGAGTATAGCGCTTTCCAATAAAGGATAGAAAAACATGAATTAAACTGACTGTCAGAAAAGTGGCCGTCACTCAATTACTCCTTCCCAAACGGAGTCGTTGTGGTTTCATTTCAGTACTCCAAAGTAAAATTGCATCGAAATGCTGCGGTCGGTTCTGGAAGTGGATTCGTTCGTTCCAATGCGGATGAAAAAGATTGATCCTCCGGTCAGTAACAAGAGAGTCTTCCTTCGTTTACCTTTCTTTGGAAATGTGTTCACACAAAACACAAGAAGCATGGTGCAATTTGCCATGAACGCGCAAGTAAAGGTCACAATGCTCGTTTAAGAGAAAACGAGCATTTCTTTCGCCGTCAAGCTTAGCTCATTCAAGGAAATCTCCTGATGTTGTGTATGTGGACGCGCTCGTGTGCGTGCGCTATGCCTGGTTTGCACTGTCACGCCATCAAAAATAAAATCGTAACCATTCAGTGCATTAAGTCAAGAAGGTGGGATATGATAGATTATTGATGTATCAACAACCTCGCCGAGATTTAGGTTTGTGTGATTATTCATTCGCGCGTCATTCAGAAAAGTGTTTCACTCAAATTTATAGAGCTTTTTATGCAGACCAAGTCGGGTGCCCTTCGGAGGGCACCAACATGGCCGCCGTAAAGTATCAGAAACATCTGTCATTAAATTTTGCCATCAAAACGAAAAGTTATTACTCTAGAGTTCCGACACATTGCAATTAATACTTCTTCTAGAGCAAGAACTGTTTAGTTAGCAAAAACCTGCGCAATATCTGGTCTTTTGACCTACTCGAGAACCTTATCGGGCCGCCATTTTAATGTCACGCAACGCATAAACTTGGAAATTCAAACGAGCTCTATTACAAAATGAGTAGCTCTGTCTGGCTTAAACGTTGTAAAATCTCAGTAGGATTGGTAATTCCTTATTTTGGAAAATGATGACGTCACATGAAAACCGGCAAT